TGTATGGATACAGGATGGTTGTAAGTCTTTCGGTTGTTTACCCTCGTGATTGTGTGGCTGACTGGAATTTGCAGCTTACTGACACTGCCCAGCCCCAGGAGAGAACATTGTACTACATATTGCTAGTCCAGGAAAAGATTAAGATTCCAAATTTAGACACGATTTCTACTGAATGTATATTGCTTTCACACCATCATAAAGTTGAAAAATCAAAAGTCAAACCATCGTAAGTTGGGGACTCTCTGTATCTAATTGCAAAGGTCTTCTCTTGGACTTTTTCTTAAAGCCAAGATGGAGTAACAAGGACTGGATTTACCCTCCAGCCTGACACAAACAAACAAACAGAAACAGATGAAATATATAAAGCAGCAGTTTTCAAAACACTGGATATGAAACAACAAAGAACAATGATCCAAGAGAGAGAGAAAACAAACAAGGTGAGCTCTATGATTGCCCAAGCTTACCATGTTTACGGAGTTTACAGGCCATACACAGGGAAGGGGAACTGAGGAGGATACTGAAAAACACCTGAACTGGGAAAGACAAAGGCAGTAAGAGTTCAGAGGAGAGAACAAAAGAGAGGAGAACTGCACAGAGAGAGAACCCAGAGATCTGTAGAGGATCCTCTGAGACTAATCAGCAGAGTACAGATCAGAGCATCAGTGTGAGGGAAGTACCTGAGGGGATGGGGAAAGAATCATTCAAAAGGAATAAAAGAAGTAATACCTAGTGTCCACATGAGGCAGAGACTAGTGCCCTTTCCCAACAGCAAGGCTGGAAAAGATCATAGTTCATGAAGCATCGGGTAGAATACTCAGAAAATCTTTCCTTCATTAATGGGAAATGATTAACCCCAGACTGAGAACTTCTTTGGTACTGGCTAACAATCATAAAAGCAATATCCAGGAGCATCACACTGTTTCTATGTAATTTAAATATATCTCACAATCAAACTCAGGAATATTTACAGGAACACAAAAACATCTAGCATTGACCTGGGTCAAATTAATGATGCCTTGCTTTTATCAAAGATTAGCAGGCATGCAAAGAGTCAGGAAAACATAACCCTCGTGAGAATAGGGTCATGAGGAGAAAAATAACCAAAACCAACTCAGAGGTTAGAATTAGAAGGCATAGACATTAAAATAGTTAATATGTTCTTAATATACTCACATTTTTAAAAAGATACATAGAGACATGGAAGATACCCTTTAAAAAAAACAAAGGAACTTCTAGAGATGAAAACTACAAAATGTGAAATGAAAAATGCGCTACATAATATTAATGATAGATTAGACGGTGGGCAGAAGGGATTAAAGGACTTGAAGATATGACAATAGAAACTATCAAAAATGAAACACTGAGAGAAAATAATTTTAAGAGGAGAGGAGGGAAGGAGAGTTGGAAGGGAGAAAAAGAGGCAGAAAAGAGAAAAAGGAAAGAAAAAAGCATTAGGGTGCTGTGGGATACCTTTTAGCAGCCTAATATACATGTAAACTGTAGGTTTCCAATTTAATTCTATTGGGGGCAGAAAATATACTTTTATGACTCTAATCTTCTAAATTTATTGAGATTTGTTGGTAAAGTTTTCGTGTGTAAAGAAGAATGTGTAATCTGCTATTGTTGAGTGGAAGGCTCTAAAAATGTACATCAGATAAAGGTGGTTGATAACTGGGTTCAAGTCTACTATACTCTTGCTGATTTTCTTTTTTTGTCTACTATCCTACCAAGTATGGAAAGAGGAGTATCTAAGCCTCTGATTATAATTATAGTTTTGTCTGCTTCTCTTGCAGTTCCATAAATTTTTGCTTCACATATTTTAAAGCTCTGATAATAGAGGCATAAATGTTATGGATTGTTATTCCTTCTTGATGAATTAACTCCTATATCATTATGAAATGAACTTCTTTATGTCTGTTAATAATGTTTGCTCTGAATCTATTTGTCTGAAATTAATATGCCCACACTTGCTTTTCCCTGAGTGAAGTTAACATGGTGTATCTTTTTCAATCCTTTTACTTTTAACCTATTTTTCTGTCTTTATGCATAGAATGAGTTTCTTTCATGTTACATATAGTTGAGTCTTGCTATTTAACATAATTTGACAATTTGTATCTTTTGTTAAGGTGTTTAAACCATTTACATTTAATGCATCTTTGATATAATTAGATTTAAGCCTATCATTTTGATATGTTTCCAATTTGCCTCAACTCATCTCTGTTCCCTTTTCCTCTTTTCCTGCCTTCTTTTGTATGAATTAAATGTTGTTTAGTATCCCATTTTATCTCCCAATTTATTAGTTCTAAACCTCCCTTGATTATTAGCAATTCTCTTTGTTTTGTTACTTTAGCAGTTGTTTCAGGATTTATAATATACATCATATCTTATTGCAGACTACCTGGAAAATTTATAGCATTACATGGCTATATTTGAAAAGAAGAAAGATCTTAAATCAACAAACTTAGCTTCCATCTTAAGAAACTAGAAAAAGAAGAACAAATTAAAACATAACTAAGTAGGAGGAAAAAACAGTATCAATTGAAGCAGAAATTAATAAAATAGAAAACAAAAAAGTATAGAAAATGATTAAACACAGACTGAAATTTCTGAAACAAAGAACTTTTTCTAAACCAACAACCAAACTGATCAAAAAAAAGAGAGAAGACACAAATTAACAATGTTAGGAATGAGAGAAGTGACATCACTACAGGTTGTAGAGATATTAAAATGACAACAAGAAACTATAAAGAAAAATGTTAGGCCAAAAAATTAAGCCACTTAGATGAGATGGACAAATTCCTTGAAAGACACTAACTGCCAAAGCTCAGTCAAGAAGAGATCATTTGAATCTCACTACATCTATTAAAGAATTTGTACTTAAAAATCTTACAACAAAGAAAACCTCATCCCCAGACAGCTTCAGTGGTCAAGTGCCTCAAACATTTAATGAACGATGAAACCAATTCTACATAAAATCTTCCAGAAAATTGACATGGAGGAATACTTCTCTGAAACCTGAACCAGACAAAACCATTGCACAAAAAGAAAATAACATATCAATATCCTTCATAAACATAGTTGCAAAAATTGTAAGCCAAATTTTAGCAGATCTAATCCACTGATAAACTAAAATGATAATACATCCCAAGAATCCAAAGGTGCTTTAACCTACTATAATTATTCAATATAATTCATCATGTGACAAAACTAAAAAGCAAAAGAAAAGAAAAACTATATAATCATCTCAATAGATGTAGTAAAAGATTATACAAATCAATATTCATTCCTGATAAAACTGATAAAACATCTGAGAATTCTAGAAGTAAAAGAGAACTTCCTCATCTGATAAAGGGCATCCACGAAAAATATATAGTTAACACTGTATATTTGCTATAACACTGAATGGCCTTCCCAAGATCAAGAACAAAATAAGAATGTTCACTCTCATCGCTTTTGTTTAACATCGTACTGGAGGTTCAAGTCTATGAAGTCAAAAAAGGAAAAGACATAAAACTTATCCAGAGAGGAAGAAATAAAGTGTTTTTATTTGCAGATGACATAATTATGTGGAAAATCCAATGGAATCCACACACAAAAAATTACTAGAAGAAATAAGTGAGTTTCTCAAAGCTTCAGGATATAAGGTTAATATTAAAAAGTTTGTTATAATTCTATACACCAGCAAAGGAACTTTGGAAATTAAAATTACAAACAATAACAATACCATTTATAAAAGCATCAAAAATGTGAAATATATAACGATAATCTAACAAAATATGTGAAATATCTGTACACAGAAAAGTACAAAACATTGCTTAGAGATATTAAAGAATACCTAAATAAATAGAGCGATAGACCTTGTTCATGAGTTGAACAAATAAATATTTTTAAGACTTCAATTTCCCCCAAATTGCACTATGGATTCAATGCAATCACATTCAAGATTTCAAAAGATTTTTTTAAAGAAACTGACAAGCCAATTCAAAAATTAACATGGGGACACAAAGACATAGATTAGTCAAAACAACTTTGCAAAAGAACAAGGTTGAAGGACTAGTACTACATGATTTCAGGATATATCATAAAACTACGCTATTCAAAATAGCGTGGTGGTGTAAAAATATACGAATAGATCAATGGAACAGAATAGAGAGTCCAGAAATATATGCATCATATATGGATAACTGATTATTGACAAAAGCACAAAGACAATGTAGTGAAGAAAGAATAATCTTTTCAACAAATATTCCTAAAACGATTGAATATCTAAAGGCAAAAAGAAAAAAAAATAATTTCAATACATGACACAAATTAACCCAAAATGAGTCATAGATTGCCATGTAAAATCTAAAACTATAAAATTTCCAGAATAAAACATAGGAGAACATTTTTGTGACCTTGAGTTAGGCAACAAGTTTTCAGAAACAATAGTAAAAGTATGAAATGGATTTCATCAAAATTTAAAACTTCTGCTTTTCTGAGTATACTGTTCAGAGAATAAAAAGGTAAGCCATAGACTGAAAAAAAATTATCAAAATGATATCTGATAAAGGACTTCTATCCAGCACATACAAAGAGCTCTCAAAACTTAACAATAAGAAAACAAATAACTAAAATAAAAATTCTCAAAAGATTTGTACAGTGACTTTATCAAAGAAAATAAGTGGATAGTAAATAATCACTATAGGTAAATAGGTAAAGAAAAACATCTGAGGATCATTTTTCATTTAGGAAATGCAAATTACACTGTAATGATACACCACTACACACCTATTAGAATGATTAAATTAAAAGACAGACTACACCAAGTTATGGCAAGGATAAGGTGGAACTGGAACATTTGTACACTGCTGGTAGGAATGTAAAATGGGACAACTTTGGGAAACAGTTTGGTAGTTTCTTAAATAGTTAAACATACTCCTACTGAATGATCCAGCCATTATACTCTTAAGTATTTAACCAAAAGAAGAGAAATCCTATGTTCATACAAAGACTTGCGCTTGAATGTTCATACCAGCTTTATTTGTAAGAGCCAAAAACTGAAAACGACCCAAATGTCATCAACAGGTAAATGAACAAACAAATTGCGGTATACCCGTACAAAGAAACAATACTCAACATTTAAGAAGACTGAAAAATTGACGCAAGCAACAAGATATATGAATTTCAAAATGATCATGTAAGTGAAAGAAACTAGACCAAAAGTAAATAAGGCATTCTGTATGATTCCATTTATATAAAATACTACAAAATGCAAACTAAATCAGGTTGGTGGTTGTCTGGGGAGAAGCCACTAGGGAGGAGCATGATGAAATCTGGGGGGATGATGGATATGTTCACTAGCTTAATTGTGATGGTGATTTCAAGGGAACACGTTTACATATGAGGAAACAACAATTGTACACTTTAAATATGTTCAGTTTGTTATATGAAATTAAACTTCAATAAGGTTGTTAATAAAAGAAAATACCTCTTGTCTTCCTAAGGACGATACAACCTTTTCTTTATATATAAAATTGGTGCTAGCTTATGTACAACAATATGGAAAGGCTTCCTTTGAAGTAGAATAACCTGTACAGCGATGTAGAAAGGGAGTAGAAACACTGAAAATAGAACGAATTTTCTAATTCCATCAGTTTCTATTCAGCAATATTTCCCTGCTTGGCTCAGTTTGTTCCAGAACTGAGTGTCTTCATTCTTTGATCCTGTATGTTTCTGCATCATAGCATAGTATAACATAATTGAGAAGAGCTCATCTACAAAGGGTATATACTTTAGGGGAAAAAAATTCTCTTAGTCCCTCTGGGCCGTTTACCACATGATTCTAACAAATACTATTCTGAAGGATGAAAGGCGTTAAGCCATCTTTTGGTAGAGAAAAGATGAAGCAATAATAACCAATTCAGGAACCAATAATGACTTGTGAACTAGTTCACAGAAAAGACCATCCAATTTCTAATTATTTCCTGGGACATCCCAATTGCCCCAAAATGTGAGAATGGGGTGTTAAGGGTCTGTGTGTAAGTATGTGTACGTGGTGGAGCCTGGAGAGAAACAAGAATTTTAAAAAAACCAAGGAGTGCTAGCTTTTAATATTGAGAACATGTTTCTTGATTCCAATATGGTCTTTCCTCTGCTCTATTTCTTCATATTCTCTGTTTCCCATGTGTATTTCCCCTTTTCTGCTCTCTGCCTACAGTTGGGCAAGCTGTCCATTGTCTATCTTCTATGTGGTCTTTGAGGGTGAGGGGAAGCACTGAGGTAGAGATGACTGAGTACAGAGGACAGCCAAGACTTGGAGAGGAGTGAAACTTTAAAACAAAAAAGGGAAGTGGAATCAAAGGCTGGCAGGGAGGCTTGGGACAAGTTAGGTAAAAAAACAGAGAGAGAGATAGAATCAAAACTCCTGATATCAAAGTGTTAAACAGCTGGAGCCCCAGTCTCTGCTAAGGAGTTCTGCAGTCAGCTAGTAACAGGCAGTTCTCAGGGCTCTCACAGTTTGCACCTAAGTGACAAAGAATGGCTTAAATTCCAGGAGAGAATTCGAAGGCCTTCTCCTCCTTTTCTTTCAGAGTCTTCAAATTCACTGTGCTCTCAATAGATTTGCCTTCTTCTGACATATACTGAATGCAGTTAAAATGCAGTTTTCAGCAAAAACAGCTCCCCCTTGTATGTATGCACAGGTGCCTGAAGGGTACTCCTGGGAAACAGCTCCCCGCAGTCTAAACCTGCATGCAAAGAGGAATAAGAACGTAGATTTACTGTCACCTTGTGTCATGAATTTAACCTTGTCTTAAAGCTTCAGATCAGTAATAAATTTGGGAAGGAAAACTCAAAAGAAGCTCTGAATAGGTAACTGGGCAACTCCCAGTGTGAGAGAGGTGGGAAGGAGACTTTCAGAAATTCCCCAAGCAGGTTCAGTGAAGAATAGGAAACTCACAAGTGGGGCTTCAAAGGAGAACCGTCCTCCCAGAGCCATGGGTGGCTGGGTTTCCTCCGAGACAGCCCCATCCAGAATGGGGAACTGGAATGGGCACTTGCTTGCTTGATGAATTCCTGTGGAGAGTGACATTTCTGAGTTGATGGTGAAGTCATTGTGGTCATTTTAGATTAGATTCACAAAACTAAAGACCCAAAAGAGATCTTTGACATCCCCTCAATGATTTTTCAGAAATGTTTACTGAAGCCTAGACATGCTACATAAGCTGTCTATTGAAGGTCATGCATGTAATTAGTGGCTAGAGAACAGGTGTTCTGATTCTCAAACAATTGCTCCTCCACCAAGGGCTTAACCTGATTTATTTCCCTGTAAGCCAATACTCCAGCTTAACACACATCCATAAAAACTTACCAGATCATCTGTGCTATTAATTCTCAGCATCTGGCCATCCAAAGACAAGCAGTTCTCCTGGCTTTTTTCCCAATTAAATGAGCCAGAGGAAAATAGGTAACAGTTTTCTTCATGCCAGAGCCAGTCTTGGGGACAAGGACCTAGGAAGTATAATATATCTAATCAGTGAGTTATGCCTCGGTAAAAATATTTCTCCAATTCTTAAATCAATTCTCCTCTTATGACTCTCACATATGCCATCTCTTCTTACTTAGATTTATACCCAGACTCTGCAAATTTCTCAATAGCCTCAAAGTCTTTATTTCGACATTTTTTGTAGAAAAAGAAAGTATGCTAATTTTGATAAACTAAATTAAAGTAAGCCTATTAAAAAGTAAAGCTTGAGCTGGGATGTAATTTTAGAATCTGATCTATTTTTTAAAGTTATGTTTGGAATAATGGAAGTGAGAGTTTGGAAAATGGATATTTAATAGCCTTTCTGCTATTACAAAGGTATGCTTATGTATTTTAAAACTTCAGGTCTTTGAATAACAGATTTAGGCTTAAATCCTGTGCCTCCTGCTTCTAGATGTGTGCTGTCCAATACAGTAGCCGCATGTGACTCTTGAGTTCTTGAAATGTGGCTAATCTGCATTAAGATGTACTGTAATTGTAAAATACAGACCTGATTTTGAAAACTTAATACAAAAAGAGACTGTAAAATATCTCATTAATAACTTAATACTTATTAGTGTTGAAATAATATTTCAAATATATTGAGTTAGAATATGTTACTAAAGTTAAATTCATCTGTTTCTTTTTTGTATTTTAATGTGGTCACTAGAAAATTTGCTGTTGCATATGTGGCACACACTGTGTCTCTTTGGAAAGAGATGTTCTAGGGAAAACAGTATATTAATACTAAGTGAGATCTCAATTTCAATAAGATTTCAGAAAATAGGGAGAAGTTTTCAGCAGCGAAATTCTGAGGGAGTCCAAAATACCCAACTCAGGGCTTAGACACTAGGCAAAATATGCCAATGTCAACATGTTTACGGATATTTTAAAGAACCCTCAAATCATCATCATCCTTCTCCGCCTCCTCCCCTTCTTCCTCTTCCTCCTTCTCCTCCTCCTCCTCATCTCTTCTGTGTATTAGTAACCCATGGAATCTCTTTAATGGGAAAATGAACCCTTCGGTCTACACTGTGACCAAAAGATGAAAAAATTAAAATCTTTGAGAAACACAAGATTTCAATTTGAATTTTCATTGTGACATAAAACCATTAGGCAATTTTATAAGAGTAGGCTTTACCAGAGAGGACAAAGCAGGAGGGTGCTGAACTATGAAAGATGAAAGTGAATGAGAAAGGGCATACAAAAGGCCATGATGAAAGCAATGAATGCGAGCTTCTTACTTCTTAATTTGCCTACTCCCATCATATTACGTAAAAGGAAAGGATATATTGGTCTTTGTGGACTAAGGGACAGTCTAGACAGGGTTTCCAAGGTATCATAAAGTGAGGAAGACAAATCTCAGAATGTTGTATTCAAACTACCTGTATTTCTTTTAAGGATTTTAATACTCACAAATATCACTATGTGCCAAAAACTGTTGGCAGTACTTTAGCCTATATTAACTCATTTAATCCTCCTAGCAACACTATGAGATATGTTCTATTCATTTTCTTCATTTGATGGATAATGAGAAAGGGAATTTGAAGCTCGGCAGTGTAACTCTATTGTTGTGTTTAATCACCACATCACACTCCCTCAAACTTGTGAGTTGGACTCGATTAAGAAATATTTATTGATGCCCTTCAAGATATTTTGATAAAGATCTTGGGGTAAACCTGGAACCTGACATTTTTAACAAGCTACTTTGGTGATAATTTTGTACACTAAGGGTTGAGAACCACTATTAATTCTGGGGCTAAATGCAAAGTCTGTTACTGTGAAGACACTGCATCTTTCTAACTGGATGACCTCAAGCAAACCCCATATAGTAATTTCTCAGAGTCTCTCCTTCTTCATATATACTCCAAGGACCACAGGCTTGTTAGTAGGAAACATAAAACTTGTCTCAAACTTAAGAAAACTGGCATATTTTTTCCATATGGTATCTTACTATGAATGTTTTTGTCTCAAAGCTGCTTGATGAAAAGCAGTACTTTATTTGGTATCTCTACTAATTGACCTTTATCTGACTCTATCAAGGAATGGAACATGCTGCCTGGTATATCTGCTAATGGAAGACATATCGTTTATTATTTCTGATTAGTTGTCCATGCCTGGCATCTCTAGGAGATGGTTCTGAATGGTCCTGAAGTAGATTTAACCTCATACGACTGATAAAAACAAAACTGTTTTACAGCCTCACCTGTGAATAAACCGTTGGTTGGTATGTAGCTATGTCTGTTTATATAAACATTCATATCCTTGAGATACTAGCCTCTTTCCTTTAAGCCTCCTTTGAGATGGTGTACACTTTTATTTCCTCAATAGCTCCCTCCTTAAAGAGATTAAATGCATGTTTGACACTTGTGAAAGATCAGTTTGTCTAAAGGTATCCAGTTATTTTGGAAATTTAAATATTGAAGGGATTTATAAACTGTAAAACTTTATACAAAACTACTTATCATTATTATCATTTAATTTAACTGAGTTTCAATTTTATCCTATAAAATAAAGGGATGGGTATCTGTGAACTGTTATATAGTCTTTATTCAAAGAAACTACGTGGTTGAGCTTGAATTTTACAAGCAAGAAGCTGGAGAAACCTCTGCTATTAGTGATAGTTACTAATGCTGAAAATAGGATACTCATTCACACACCTCCAAGGAAGCAATATACCTCTGAAAGTGATTCCATCTTTCACTCTCCCTATAACTAAAAGCTTATACCTGATTTAATTATACACAGTAGAAAGGTTAATTAAAACAGGTAACTTTCATTATCATCTCCTGCTTATAGATGCTGATATTTCTGCCTACCTTCTAGATTGTGAGGAAACAGCTGAGATCAACTCAGTTCTTCTCGTATAAACTGACTTCTTGGGCCCCTCATATTTTTGTTTTACCTGAAGTATCTACCTAACAGTTCCAAGCCAGCCAAATTGATTCAATTCAAATTGACCTAGTTCCCTTCAAGACACTGTGCCATAGAAAAAAGCTAATGTGGAAGTAGAGGTCCCAGAGACAAAGGGGACTCCTTAGAAAAAGAAATTAACCATTAAGATACACTGAAATGGAAAGGATAAGGGTGGGAGTGTTCTTCCAGAAAAATCTCAAAACCAAAATTTTAAAAAGATGAGTCTCTTGTGAAGAAGGAAAAATTAAATCCACCGAATGTGTGGTTAATTAAATCAGATTATCTCAAGAATTTGGCATAGGGTAGGGTGAGGATGACAAAAATAGAGAACTTTGGTGTAGAACATTAGGAATGAATACTGATACATATATCAATATGCCAATTTTGTGCCTAGAGACATTTACAAAACAGGTTAAGATTAACAAGGAAGCTGCCATTATGTCTCTTCACCTGTCCCTGCCCCATACCTGAAAAGTTTGCCGCTTTCTTCAGAGCTTCTTGGAGATTCAGGTTCTGGAGACGAAGTTCCCTTAGTTCTTTGGATTTCTCATCCAGCTTGTGGGCAAGGGTTTCTATCATGTCTTTGAGTTCCCTTTGTGACTCTTGGGAAGATTTTTCTGCCTGCCGCCGGGCTAAGATCTGCCCCTCCAGGATATGTTCCTGCTGAGTAAGGTTTGCTTGCTGTTGCTGTAGGTCATCAGACACCTGGGATACTAAATCAGAGCTGAATTAAGACTCCATTACCAAGCCCCAATAAAAATCTCTCCACTGGATTTTGAGGAAATCAAAAAACTGAATCAAATAATCTAATTTGACGACAGAAAAACTAGAAAATGACCCCAAACTGGAAAACGACCCAAATTTACTCAGAAATTATGGATTTGAAAGTTATTTGATATTCCTGTAATATTTTTTTGTGATAGTTAACAACCTTGTGAAATTACAGTTGTACATTATTATTAGTCATGTTGGAGGTACATCACTTCCCCCCTAGTGCCCTCCCCCCACCCCCCCTTTCCCCTGGTAACCACCGATCAGTTCTCTTTGTCTATATGTTAACTACCACCTGTGAGTGGAGTCATACAGAGTTCGTCTTTCTCTGTCTGGCTTATTTCACTCAACATAATACCATCAAGGTCTATCCATGTTGTTGCAAATGGGATGACTTTGTCCTTTCTTAAGGTTGAGCAGTAGTATTCCATTGTATATATATACACCATATCCTCTTTATCCAATCATCAGTTGCTGGGCACTTAGGCTGGTTCCATGTCTTGACTATTGTGAATAATGCTGCAATGAACATAGGGGTGCATGGGACTTTTGGAATTGCTGATTTCAGGTTCTTAGGCTAGATACCCAGCAGTGGGATGGCTGAGTCATAAGGTATTTCTATTTTTAACTTTTTGAGAAGTCTCCATACTGTTTTCCATAGTGGCTGCACCCGTTTGCATTCCCACCAACAGTGTATGAGGGTTCCTTTTTCTCCACAGCCTCTCCAACATTTGTCACTCTTGCTTTTGGATATTTTTGCCATTCTAACAGGTGTAAGGTGATATCTTAGTGTAGTTTTGATTCCTGCAATATTTTTTTAATGTTAGGAAGTATCTGTCACAGATACTTGTAATTAAAAAAAAATACCAGAATTTTACTTGTTATTGAGAGCTACACACAAGTTAAAAGCAATTCCAAGGTAGGTAGTAAATCAGTGGCATAAACAAAATATAGACAATCTAAAATAGAGGCCAACCAGACTCAGTGATTATTAGTGGGAATTGTCATTAATGATTTATTCTGTCACTTCATTTGTCTGTCATCTCTCTACCCTTTCAGACTTCCTAACTTTATTTAAGGACCGTGATACTTGTTTCGTTTTTGAGACACACTTCCACAGAATTATTTTAAATTGTGTCACAAGAGTCTCAAAACATTTTTTCTTCTTCACCACGGCACATTTTAGAAAGGCTGGAAATGAAATGAAGGTTGTGAAATCAAGAGGCAACAAATGTTAAGGGTCAAATGTTTCAGTTCTAGAAGCTTGATGGTCAGTAGAAGGCAGACTCCCTGGCTTGAAGGCCAGATTTGACACTGTTGAAAAGTGATCAGGGACTCAGAGGAAGACTTCCAATAACCAACACTGAGTGAAAGGCCCTTTTCCCAATCATTAGGAAAGGCCCTAAGTATTTATAGATGGAAAAAATAAATGGTTTGTGACCTTAAACAACAATTGAGAAACAAATTGCCCTTCAAAGTCCTTAGCAACCTGGATTCTAGAAAGCCAAAATAACTCAGATCTACAACCTAAATACACAGGCAGGTTAGATGGATGATTAGCGCCATTTTCTTTCCTTCTTGGCCACTCTAGCTGTCTTTTCATTTCTCTTCCTCTTAGCATCCTCTCTTTCCTAAATGCCTGTGTTATAAATTTGAAGTATGTTTTGTTTTAAATGTTTCGTTTATTAAGACGGTGTTTCTAGTTCTTAAGTTTAAATTGATATTTAATCATCACTGCTAAAACAACTGGAACTAAATGAAGCTTTTTTTTCTTTTGGGTCTTTCAGGTGATCTTGTGGATTAGTAACAAAATTATTTTCTTCCTTATCATTCTAGGATTTAAATAGGCTCTATCCATGAAATAATGAAAACAAAACAAAACAAAAACCTACCATGCATAATCTTCATTCTATGCCTCAATCTATTTGAGGGATAAGCACAATATACACATTCATCTTCCCACTCACTCTAGAAGCAGTTTGCCTGAAATGTATCTAAATCAAGATTGTTTGTAGTTATCAAACCAACTCATAAACCTTGTTTATAAACTCTCATTTTTTTCCTTTATCATTCCCCTGTTTCAGCACTTACATTGCATTATCAGCATTATAGTAGTCACCAGTAATCCCAGGCAAAGGATCCCTAGAGTCACAGAAACAGGGCACCACCATCGAGAAGAAAGAAATTGAAGACCTAGAGTGACAGAAGATAGAATCAGGAAGACAAAAAGATGGGGGCACGCAATCAAACAATTCTTTGGATCCTGTCTGTGCTCAGTGCTTTTTATTCCTTACCTCTAGTCCTCCAAGGATTCTGCAAATAATTCATCATCCACATTTATAGGTGAAAAATATAGACAGTTAAAGAATTTAAGTAATTTACCCATGGCCACACAAACACAATTTAAGAGCCAGAATTCAAGACCAGATATTTGGCTCTAAGTATCCGATTCTAAAGCTTACACCTTGTCTATTGGCCCTACAGTAATTCTTCAAGAAACTCTCAGTCCAGCTTGATTGAATCAACTTCATCCACAGGGCAGAGAGCCTGACATTTTTCATACAGATCATGTGTATGCATGCTCACACACACACACACACAATTGTGTTTTATAAGCAACATACCATAAATAAATGTCAGACATCAAGCAAACAAGCTTTAATCAATTAATCAAATGAGATCACTTCAAAGAATTACAACATAATTTTGTGCTATTCAATTTTTATTCCACTAAAATTACATCTTAGAATTGGGGTTATTGACCAAAGAAAAATAGGTATGAAACTTCTATATTCACTTGACTCATATTAATGTCATGTATTACACTCACACCAACTGTGGCCTGTTGTTAACGAAAGAAAAATTCACCATCTTATAAAAACAAATCATGTAGCTCACAGGTGTATGAATATCTAGTTACGTATTCTATCACTAAAAAAACACAGATATTATTAGTTCAGCAGGAAAACATTTCATATAATGTATTTGGACTCCACATCTTATAAGATAAACAAGTCACTGATAATGTTATCCTCTATATACAAAAGGAAACTGAAAGGCTCAGTGACTTGCTTAAGATCTCACAGATGTTGAGACCCAAACATAGGTCTTTAATCCAATTGTCAACAGCAACATGACTTGAAACATTACATCACACAATTTCCATTGTGAATGTGCAATGATCTAAGCCAATCAGTGATCATATATACTCAGAGTTCTCATGTGTCAAAAGCACTTCTGTTAGACTCGACAGAAGATACAAACAAAATAGAAATTTTGACAGGGAAGAATATGGTTCATTCACTGATTCAATAGTTATTAAGGCCCTAGAATGTGTGTGGCATGTTGTGCGAGAAGAAGTAAAAGATAGTGTGTCTCTTACAAATAATTGCCTGATCCTAACCTCAGGGACAAATATTTCTGTAAATCTATCGACCAACTTTTCCCTCTTGTCAGTATTCATTTCATATTATAGGATATCAAGTGTGTCCACCACTCTTGAGTGATGAAATGCCTGAACTTTCAGAAGAAAATCACCGGAACTGCACCTATGCCGGGAAGACACATGTTCCTATTTTCTACAGGCCATCTTTTCTCCCATCTCCTTGGTAGGCACAGACCATCAATCCAATCCTCACTCCCACTAGTAATTTTCTAATCAGAAAGCAGTCAAATCCCTTGCAGTAGGCAACTGATCTAACCAGGTTCTGAGAGAAGAATTAATTTCATAATTGTAGTAAACGTCAAGCACTTACTATTTACTGCATGAACAATGAATGAATAAATAAATGACTATTTTAACTGGTAGGTCTACCTATAAATGTCAGAACCATTTTCAGACCAAGTTAGATCATCAGCTCAAATGTTAAAACATACCATGTTCACACTTATTTCCCCTATTGAGTGAAATTTCTATCCTGTTTGTGGAAACATAATCTAGAATTTCTTTATCTAAATTTCTGATAATACTTGTATGTCTTAGCCTCTTCATATTTTGTTTCTTTCTCTAAGAATGGATATAAAATAGAAAGCAATTTATCCAGATTTTCTGTGGAGTTGGTGTTTTGAATTAGTTTATACTTAAGCAGTTTAATGTACTGTATACACCAAACAAATTATAATATTTAAAAGCATTGGTGTATGATAAAATATAATTTATATGAAGCTATACTGAATATCATTTAATCTGCTTTGGATAATTCATAAAATATATCAAGTTTTGCAATGTGTCAAGGACACTATTATAAAAATTATCAGTGCTTACACTGGGTGAATTCAACATTTCCTGAACCTTCTGATGGATTGGATTCTAGATAAACAGGAGTTTGTGATAGAATTGTAGCTCTACCATTTACTAGCTGCATAAAATTGGTTAATTTAGTTAATTCTTCTGATCTCCAGTTAGTCCTCTGTAAAAGGGAGATAATAATAGTCCTAATATCAAGGTATTATTGTGAAGATTCAAAGAAATAATGCATGTAAAGCAAATAGCATAGAACATAGCCTATAGTAAATGCTCAATAAATGTTAATCATCGTCTACTATATCATCATTCATACCAAGTTATCTCATCATCACCATCATCATCATCATTCTATCTGAACTGTTTTTCTAAGTGAATGTTATTAATTCTATAATATTTTCCCATACTCAGATGTTTTCGCTTTCTAATCCTGTATTCAATTAATTTACATATTTAAGCCAATCCTGAGACTCTGTCCCTCTACACATTCACCCACTACTAGTACCTTTAGCTTTCTCTCCATCTGGCTTCTGTTCAGGCTGATCCTTCACAGTTTTGCTCTTGAGGTCATCAAAAGTCATTTCTAAATTCATTCCAAGAATGAGAGAGTGAAGCAGTGAGGACCTCTACGAAGTAAAAATTTGTGAGCTTCTGCTGGAGTGTTTAAATAGCTACTGCTCTCTAATGGAAGAATGACTCAATCATTGTAGGAGGAAGGAGAGGCTTTGCTTCATATTGGGAAGTTGGCTGACGAAAATTCTTCGGTTATCTATTGCAGCTGGGGAAAGTGGTGATTCTGATAGTGTTTCAACATATTTCACTAAGTAATTTATGAAAGGGAAAACAGTATTTTCCATGAACATTAGAGGAGAGGCACTTGTACTTACTCTTCAGATAAGGAAATTGAAATTCCAAGAGAATAAGTCACACTAAATTTGCAAAAGAGTGTGTTTAGATTAGATTATTTGATTCCAATGTCCCTATTTGTTTACTTCACTGTAGCAGAATGTTTCTATATGGTATTTTTCATAAGTCTCAAATTTTCCTTTTTAATTTTGACTGTTTTAACTGGCAATGGGCTTAGGAATTTTGGGGTTAACCACATAGGTCTACTTTCTCTAGTCATGATAACCTGGGTAATTTTAGAACTTAATTAGGGGCACTATTTCATAGAACGGCAGTATTACATAGAAACAGAGAACACTTTGGAGCCAGGTGGAGCTAGTTTCAGATCTTTCCTTTGCTATTCCCTTGGTCTGTAATCTTGGGGAATTGCTTAACACTCTGAACCTATCTCTTTGCCTATGAATTGGGACATTATAATGTTCACTTGATAATGATGATGTTGCGGTAGGGATTCAAATGAGATATTTGGAGAAAATGCTAAGTTTTGTACTTCAAACATAATAAGAATTCAATAAATGATAGTTAATAATATTAGCATTAGTGATATTCAGTGCGGCTGAATTGCCTGGTAAAGAATATGTTTTATGCATGAGTGACTTGAGTCAAAAAGACTCTTCAATGGACTCCTCATAAGTACTCCTATATGTATTTATTGACAGAATTCTCATCTATTTTGTCTTCACCTCCTAACCAGAAAATAAATGTCTCATTGAAGTTTACATGCTTTAAAAAAAAATCCTTATCTATTAGAGATATCTTCTGAAGTATTTGTGAGTAAAATGATATGATACCTAGGATTTACTTTAATCTAACCCAGGAAAAAATAAAAGAAAGAGTCTACATAAAACAAGATTAGAAATATATATATAAATAAACAATCTAGGAAACTATTAGGAAAAATCACCAATATCAACAGCCTAATTACGATTCCATTTTCCTCCTCCTCTCTGGGTTTTCTTATTTCCTTTTTCTGTGCTGGGTATCTGAGACCAGACTGAAATGGTTTATCTGTGATTTAAACTTTTACTCTATGATGCAGTTCACAAAAGAACTAAGCATGTAACAAATATAGTCATGTGCCTCATAATGACGTTTTGGTCAATGACAAACTGCATATGTGACCGTGGTCCTATAGACTATAATGGAGCTGAAAATTTTCTATAGCCTGGTGACACGGTAGCTGTAGTAATATCATAGTGTAACACATTACTCACATGTTTGTGCTGATGCTGGTGTAAACAAACTTACTGCACTGCCAGTCGTATAAAAGTAGAGCACGTAAGGGGCTGACCCCACAGCCTACCAGTTAAGTTTAGCACCCTCCACTTTGGTGGCCCAGGTTCAGCTCCCAGAGCAGACCTACAATACTCATCAGCAGCCATGTATGGTGGTGACCCACATACAAAATAGAGGAACACTGGCACAGATGTTAGCTCAGGGAAAATCTTCCTCTGCAAAAAGAAAGAAATAAATAAAAATAGAGAACGTAAAATTATGGCCAGTACCTGATACTTGATAATGATAATAAGTGGCCATGTTACTGGTTTATATATTTATTATACTATACTTTTTATAATTAGATAAAATAATGATAGAGTGTACTTTTTCTGCTTATAAATGTTTACTGTAAAGCTAATGCTGTGTTAGGACAGCAGCAGCCTCATATAGCTCATGTTTACCATGTCTTTTGATTGCATCATTTTCTCTTGCTCTTCATTTAATTTTGTGTTGTTCTGTTCATCATGGCCACTAAGCATACAAACTCCACTGCTAATGTTGCCAGTAAGATGCCTCATAGAATGATTCACCTTAAAATTACATTAAAAGTGATTAAGAACTATGAAGGTGAAAAATCAGTGATGATTATTGCTCGCCACTCAGGCATATCCCATTCCACCATAGCTATGATCTTGAAGAACAAGAACAAAGTGATGCAAGCTGTTAAAGGATCTGCTTCACTGAAGCCAATGAGACTAACAGAAATCCAAGAAGGGCCTGTATCAGACATGGAGAAATTTCTAACGACCTGGATTGAAGACAGACACAGAAACGTATACCTCGCAGTACTATGATCACAGTCGAAGCCAAAATATTTTTGGTCATGTTGAAAGAAAAAGCTGGACCTATGATGTTGAATTTATTCCTAGCTCTGGGTGGTTTAAACGATTCAAAAATCATTATTTATTATATAATGGGAAAGTGAGTGATGAGTCTGTGAGTGCTGATATGAAGGCAGCTGAAGAATTTGTGGAAACTCTAGTTAAACTGAATGTCGAGGAAGATTACTTGCCAGAGCAAATATTCAATGTGGATGAAAACTCCCAATGTTGAGAATGGATTCCTGGAAGGACTTTCACTCATAAGGAGGCCAAATCAACACCAGATTTCAAGGCTTTTTAGGACAGGATAACAGCCTTGCTTGGGGGCAATGTTGTTGACTACAAATTGAAACTCTTTGTGATCTGGCACAGCGAGAACCCCAGGGCCTTCAAGCACGTCAACAGGCACACACTGCCAGAGCACTGCAGGAGCAATGAAAAGTCGTGGGTGACTCAGTTTCTCTTCCAAGATGCCCTACTGAATTGCTAAGCTGCAAAATGGAGAAGTACTGTTTGGAGAATAACATACTTTCCAAGATTTTGCTTATTGTTGATAATGCTCCTGGACATCTTCCTTTTATTGGTGATCTTCATCAAATCAAAGTGGTGTTTCTCCCTCCAAACACCATCTCTTTTGACCCAATCAATGGATCAAGGAGTTTTGGTAGCTTTTAAGACATACTACCTGAGGAGGACCTCTGACTAGGCTATTGCTGCAACTGAGGAAGACACTGATGTAATTCTGGAAGGATTACAACATCTATGACTACCTCAAGAACCTTGATTGGGCTTGGGGGTGATGTCACCAAGGAGTGTATGAATGGAATCTGGGAGAACATACCCACGAGGTTCATCTATGACTTAAAAGGATTTTCCAAGGATGAGGAGATTGCAAAAATCAAAAAGGCTGCAGTTGAGACAGCAAACAACTTTAACCTGAGTGTGGATGAGGATGACATTCAAGAACTCCTAGAGGTGGTTCCTGAGGAATTGACTAATGAGGAGTTGTTGAAACTAGAACAGGAACACATAGCTGAAGAAGAGGTAAGAGCAAAGGAAACTATAGGAGAAAAAAAGACTACCAAGAAAATTCACAGTGAAGGGTTTAGCAAAAGCTTTGTTGATGTCAACAACTTCCTTAAAAAGTTTAAAAACATGGACACCAACAACAAAAGGTTTCCTTTAAAAGAGAGGAAAGTTCATGGTGCGTTATCTGCTTACAAGCAAATCTATGATGAAAAAAATGAACAAGTCAGGAAAACCACCATGGACATATTTCTGAAAAGAGTGACACTCCCTCAAGAAGAGCCTCAGGCAAGTCCTTCAGGAGGTGTTCCAGAAGAAGGCATTGCTATCACAGGAGATGACAGCTCTGTGTGTGTTATTGTCCCTGAAGACCTTCCAGTGGGACAGGATGTGGAGGTGGAAGACAATGATATTGATGATCCTGACAGTGTAGGTCTAGGCTAATGTGTGTGCTTGTGTCTTAGTTTTTAACAAAAAGGTTTACAAAGTAAAAAAAAAAAAAGTAAAAAATTTTAAAAATAAAAAAAGCTTATAGAATAAGGATGAAAAGAAAATATTTTTGTACAACTGTACAATGTATTTGTGTTTTAAGCTAAGTGTCATTACAAAAGAGTCAAAAACCTTGAAAAAAATAAAGTTTATAAAGTAAAAATGTTACAGTAAACTAGAGTTAATTTACTATTGAATAAAAAAACTCTTTATAAATGTATCATTGCTTTTATAAATCTATTATACTGTAAGTATACCATGTTTATAAAGTCTACATTAGTGTACAGTAATGTCCTAGGCCTTCACATTCATTCACCACTCACTCACTGATTCTGACAGAGCAACTTCCAGTCCTACAAGCTCCATTCTGGTAAGTACCCTACATATGTGTACCATTTTTTATCTTTTATGCCATATATTTACTGTACATTTTTTATGCTTAGATACACAAATACTTACTATTGTGTTACAACTGCCTACAGTATTCAGTACAGTAACAAGCTGTACAGGTTTGTAGCCTAGGAGCAATAGGCTATACCGTATAGCCTAGGTGTGTAATAGGTTATCCCATCTAGGTTGTATAAGTACCCTCTATGTTGTTTGCACAGTGATGAATCACCTAAGGATGCACTTCTCAGAATATGTCCCCATTGTTAAGCAATACATGACTATATCGTAGTCAAATCAGCTGTAATAAATCAATGTTACTTACCTTTATTACCCAAGCCTCATCCCACCTTGCTCGACTGTGAGTGCCAGGAAGCAAGACTGGATACATTTTTGCATTCACCATGGTGACTTTCACATAAATGAAATCTTAAGAAATTGTTTTTAATGATGAATTGATAAATACTGAAATGATATCACAACGAAGAGGACACCTTACCATTTTCCACAGTGACTCAGTTATTTCAGATGTCATAGATATTCTAGTAGATTAAGATGAGACATATAAGTACACTTGTTGATGAAATGGACATGACACATATTTCATGTGAGCACATCAAATCCTAGTAGCCTTTTATGGGTTGTCCTGAGAAGAGTCTCAGAAGGATATATGTGGCTATATAGTTAAAACACCCAAACATAAACACAGCACTAGAAAGAACTATATTCTTTAAAGAAGGTCTAAGGTTGAGCTAGATCTTTCAGACTTCTGGTATTCACATCCACACATCAGCCAGGAGACCCAGGAGAGCATAATTATCCACTGTCCTTTGGGTCAACACCCATAGGAAGCTCAGTAAGAGGTCCAGGACTGATGATGAGTCCTACAAATCCAGTACTCCATTCTAATACAATTTATTCTTTTTTTCTTAAAAAAAATTCTCTATACTTAACATCTACAAGTGAGATAGCCACATCATTTTTTTCTCTCCTCATTTTGTATACTCTAACAGTGCACTGTATTGATTTTCAAATCTGTTAATGTTATTCCATCTCTCCAAAAAAATTACAAGCCCTTTAAGAGTGAAGACAGATCTTCTTCTATGAAGAAAAGCTCATTCTTTCCTACCACCCTAGTGTACCATATAACTTGGGTAATATTCCACAAACAATAGACAGTTAAAATGTGAGATTCTTAACTATGAAGACAGCAACAGTATAAGCTGGATTTTTATAATACAAAGAAATTTAAGGAAAATATATCTCAATTCTTTCATTTTGAGAAAGTTGAACTAAAGCCCAAAAGGTTTAAGTAATTTACTGAATATCTCTTTTCTGTCTGATGCTAGACAAGAACTCAGCTCATCGTTCTTTCAGCTATGTCAGTTAATGAGACATAGTTACATCTTCTAAGAGATACTATAAATGCAATATGAATCTCTGTCAAAAGGATTCATTGAGGGACTTTTCAGATCACCTAAGCAGAGAATATACATTTCATAAAAGACTTCAAAAGTACAGTGTGAGGTAGAGGACACTGACACTATGGTCATCCTGAAATCTCTTCTTGACTTCCCTCAAACCAGAAGCTCATATTGAGGAGTCACAATGTGGAGAGTTTGAAATGCAGACCAATCACCGCCTTCTGCATGATCTGGCTCCTCTGCACTGCCATTTTTTGCCTTTCACTATTCAAGGCTGAAAGAAACAAGTGAGTTCCTCTCTTCTTTTATTGTGCTAAAACATATTAACATAGGATTTTTACCATTTTAACCATTTGTACTTGTAGAGTTCAGTGGTATTGAGTACATTCATATTGTTGTGCCACCATCACCACCAGCCATCTTCAGAACTTTTTCATCAGCCCAAACCGAAACTCTGATCTGTTAATAACTCCTATGATAGTTAATTTTATGTCAACTTGACTGGGCCACAGAGTGCCCACACATTTGGTCAAATATCCTTCTCAGTGTTTTTGGATGAGACTAACATTTTAATCAGTAGGGTAAAGCAGATTTCTCTCCATAATGTGATTGAGCCTCATCCAATCAGTTGAAGACCTGAATAGAAGAAAACAACTGACCTTCCTGCAAATAAGAAAAAATTTCCCAGCAGATTGTCTTCATATTGGAACTGCACCATTGACTCTCCTCGGCCTTGAGCCTGCCAGCCCACACTGTAGATTTGAACTTGCCAGCCTCCATAATTGCATGAGCCAATTCCTTATAATAAATCTCTTTCTCTATTCACACATATCCTGTTGGTTCTGTTTCTCTGGAGTACCCTTATACAACTACCAATTCCTTCCCCCTCGCAGCCTCTCAAAACTACCATTGTATTTTCTCTCTCTATGAATTTCACTACTCTAGGTACCTCATATAAGTGGAAACATACAACATTTGTCCTTTGGTATCTGACTTATTTCATTTAGCATACTGTCTTCAAGGTTCATCCATGTTGTAGCCTGTGTCAGAATTTCCTTCCTTTTTTAAGAATGAATAATATTTTATTGTATGTATATACCACATTTTGTTTATCTGTTAATCCATTGAAGGACATATGGGACACTCCTATTTTTAAAGATCCATGGAGACAATTTCTAAAATCCTTCTGTGGCAGATACCCAGACAGATGACAGATTTTAAGTAGTTCTTATTATCCCCACCTCCTGGTGTTAATACCCTTGTGTAATGTCCCCTTGAGTGTGAGTGTCACTTGTAGTACAGCAAAGGTGATGGAATGAATGTGATCATGTATATGTGATAACATGAAGTATAGTGACTATCTTGCTAAAATTCCTCTCTCTCTTCTCTCTCTCTTTCTGGCTGGATTTAAAGAAGCAAGTTTACATAAATCCTATAACCACAAAGAAATGAATTCTGCCTGAGGGAGCTTGGAAGAGTGTTCTTCCCCAGTTGAAGCTTCAGATGAGAACACAACCTAGCAGACACCTTGATTGTAGCCTTGTGAGACCCTAAGCAGAGGATGCAACTGAGCTTTACCCACACTTCTGATTCACAGATACTGTGAAATAATAAATGTGTGCTATTTTAAATTGCTGCTCACATAATTTGTGGTAATGTGTTACATGGCATATAAAGCCAATAATTCTGTGATAAACTTTATTCTTTTGTGTTTTTAAACTTCTTTAATTCTAATCCTATCACTGACTTTCAATGCCTCGAGGATGCCTCTCAATACTTAGGCTGCAATCTTGATTCATAAGACAGAGACACTTCCTAGTGGAGCTCCCAGTGGTTGTAGGATGGAACTCGTTTCTCCTGTCATATTATCTATTTTTCAAGCCATGGCTGTGGCCCAACCCACTGCTCAGCTCTTTATAGCTCATTCTTTATGCACCAGAGTGATAATAGTCCCATGTCTATTTCTCTGAGGCACAGAGTCTTCTCTGGGAACCTATTGTAAGCCATTTGACTTAGGCAAGGTCAAAAGGAGAATAACCAAAGGGACCAGAAATAAGTAATTATTTAGCCCCACTTGTTACAGCTATTGTATAACAATTCCCTGAAGCATAGGTGAAAAGGCCTGTGTACATGTACCCTCCATTGGTTCCACTCCAAGTCTTTAACAACCTGGGTATAAGCTAATGATTTACAAGCTCAATGGAACTACAACAAGATTGTGTAATATTGTAAGATCATTCTCCTCTACCTCAACTACCTGCCCTTCCAATGTGTACCTTCTTCAGTCTTCCTACCTGAATCTTCTTTCCTCTCTCCTCATTCTGTAAACGGAAGCTTTGATAGCAAATGAGTTTAGAGCTAAAATTTCCAAGGCCATAATCACTTTCATTAAGATAAACAGAAATTCTATTTCTCCAGGGAAAAACACATTGAGAAAAAAATGGCAGTAGTAATTCTATGAAAGAAAAGTAACATGTAGGTCATTAACAGAATACTATTTTGTTCAAACCTGTTAGGAAGCTGGAGGGCAAAATGATGATAGCAATCACATAGCAAGAAAGTGTAATGGGGGAAAATAGTTATGTTAATTGGCAAACCTGTTCATGCAGGTGAAGGCTGGCATGATTGGGAGCAGACATGGCTAGAATTGCAAGAGGAAATATTCAAGAATTGGAACACTATGAAAGCTAAAACATGGTCATGGAAACAATACTCATGAGAGGCATGAAGGACATCAGTTATCCAGCACATGGAAGGTGAAGGTCATTGACAAAATTGAGTGTAAATCAAGATAATCTTAGTTAACACTTACGAAATACTTGTTATATCAGGGCAATAATATGCACTTCACGCACATTAACTTCTTTAATCTCTCTAAGTCTACAAAGTAAAATTATTATTATTATTATCCCATTTTATATAGGATGAAACTGAACCAACAGAGAGATGTAATAACTTGCCCAAGATAATAGTGCTGATAAGTGACAAAGCAAGTATTTAATCCCAGACAACCTAGCTGGATTCTTAGCCATGATACTCTGCAGTCTCTCTGACAAGAGAAAGAGAAGGGAAAGGTTAATGATGCTACCCAGGTATAAATATTCTAATCAAAATGCCATCATGTCTCTGATTGTATTTTCTCTATAATACAACATCTAGAGCAGATCAAGTGGGCATTCCACTCCTGTTTCATGCATGGGAAAATCAAAGTGTGGAGAAACTACGTAATAATTTAGTGGAGGGCTAGGATTGGAGTTCTGCTCTCCTATTCTATAAAATACCTCCCACCTGGCCAGGCTTTCCACTGAAATTCAGAAAATTCTCTTCATCCTAACCCCAACTTCTTCACATTTTAAAAAATAATGTAGTACTCACTTAGTTTTGGAATGGAATGATTTCGAATCACCAGTATCATACTGTGCTTTTCTTTCACTATTCGATTTTCTTATCTGAGAAAAAAAATGTTTACAGCCTCCATTCTTATATCACATTGTCATGCTGTGTGATGGTTCTTAGAATCAACCCCACCCAACAGTCTCCCCTCAACACTCAGTACAGTTAGACGTTCAGAGTTAGAAAGGATCTGAAAGGTGGTTTTATTCTTATTATGAGATAGATATATCCCTATAAACTAATGTCTAACTTTCTTATGAAATTCTTTGTATTTCTAAAAATTTTTTTAAATAATTTATGTTAAGTAAAAGATTAGCAGCTTAAGCATAAATGATTTATACAGCATTCATTTGTTCCTGTAAATATGTGTCTTTACAAACATTCTATGTCCTTTCCACGTGTGCCTATTTTTACTCTGACCTTAGATTTTATTTGTGAGAGAGAGAAAGAGATGGAGTGCACTGCAGATCTTGGAACCCAGTTTAAAAAATATGTCTGTCTGTCTGACTTGTCTGTTTCAATGGTAATTGAAGTCCAGGTACAAAGGGATTTCACAGATAGCACCCAGAAATTCTAATATCCCAACCTGCTTTCTCCAAAGGTGGTCTGGCTTTCCAGTTCATTTGGCAACTTTTCAGTCTACTCCAATGGTTAGGAATAAAACGAATGACCCAGAACAAGGAGAGTTGATTATCAACATAGTGAAGGGGAGGGTTTCAAAGAGCAAGAGAGGAGGGCTAATCACATGGAGAGGAGAGTGAATGGAGATTGGCAGGGTGCCTTTCAACCTTCAACAGTCACCTGGAGCACTGCAGTGAAGGACCGAGAATATTACTCCTTTTCTGATGGAGAAGAGAATTTGTTTGGTCACCAGCAATGTGCCTTTGATCCTCCCCAAAGTCAAGTTTCTCAGCACTGCTTAGAAAAATATCTAATTCAGAGCATTAATGTGTCCTCTCTGAATGGCTTCCTTTTGGGGGCAGTGGAAGAAAGTTAAAAACATAAAAAAAAGGATTAAAAGTAGAAGGGAAGGAAAGAAGGCAAAGGGAAGCAAATGTGGAGACCTTAAAAACGGAAAGAGAAATAGAGAAAGAAGCTAGGATGAAAGGGGAGAGAAAGACCACAGAAAATAAAGGCTCAAGGGAGTAAGAGAGAAAGAGAGAGAGAAGGAAAAATTGATTTACTGCTGAGAAAAGTTTTTCTCCTTAAGTACTCTAGGTCAAGAAGTCAGACATGGCACAAAGAATGGTAAGGAGGCCACGAACACTCAGTGCGTGATCCTGGAGAAGGCATTGTTCAGCCCGATGGGAATGCAAGTCCGCACCGTGTCTGCCTCTTTCCTTGTGTATGTCATCCAGGTGAGTTGGAAAAAAATCACAGGAATAAGGCTTTGTTTGTTTGTTTGTTTGTTTGTTTCTCAGATTAATCAACTCTCAGAAGAATCTGGGGAGAAATGAATGAGGAGAAAAGACTTATATAGAACCAAAGGGGTAGTGGGAAAGAATAACTAGAATGTTTCCTTTGTCTGATAGGGTTACATCGTACATGTGTGACTAAGGACAACAACACTGACAAGGTACAAGTAGGATAGCTATGGCAATTTAGAAGTGCCACTTATGTATGTTTCTCTCTTCTAGCATCTTATAAAATTCCCAAGTAAATTATCAAAACTAACTACATAATTCCCCTAAACTGAGCTTCCAACATTAGCCTTAATACTATTCTAGCGGAGTAGGTGCCTCTGGGGCAGAAATAAGTTGAGAAGGAAAATTCTTTAAAAATACTTTGAATCTTTATTTTTCTCCCCACTACAAGTTGGAAGCTCCTGAGTAACTCATTAGCTGAGAAAGGGGTCATTGGGTTGAGGGGTTCTGGACAATCATCAAGGGGAAGTTTATATGGCTATGAAATCTATTAAGGAGAGCAAATGAACAAACTGCTGGTTTCAGATTCCCGTACAGCTCCTGGCAGGGTGGGGGCTGTCTGTTTTGCTTCCTATATGCCAATTAGATTAAAATCTGAAAATCCATTTCTTTTTTTTTCTTTTCCTTTTGGCTTCCTCTTCTCTTCTTTGCCTCTCCCTTCCCTTCCTTTCTCTTCTTTTTTGGCAACAGGCCTGAAAAGAGGCATTTTATCTGCTGAGCACTTGAGGGTTTCCTTACCCTTACTCAAGAAAGTGAGTCAAAATACCAGGCCTGGGTTGAGGAAACACACGCTTTATCATCATTAGTGGTCAAATATTTTAAATTAAAACAAAACGAGGAGTTTCTCAAACGTTACCTGAGGGGACAGATGTTAGTCCTTTTGCAAATACTTTTCACCTGACATGTCATGAGTATGTGTCCCCCCAAAAAACTCCTAATGAGTACAAATCTCTGTCTCTTTTTAGAGGACCTTTGTGGTCTTTGTTGTTTATTTCCTGAAATATCAAGTCAGTCAAGTTATTGGAAGAGAAAAAACAGTTTCTAGAACAAAAATTTACCTAAAGAGGTTTTTGAAGGTGAAAGTCAATCGAAATGTAAGCTAGAAGGGGTGGGAAGTTTCTTTAATAGGAGTAGAAGGGGCTTGACATCCATGTCAAGGAGTTGTTAGAGCAGATTTGCCCCAGATTCTATTAATTCCTTCAACACATATATACGATAGAGTTTAATTTGAATTCTGGCTTTTCAACAGGTATGTGCAGTTGGTCATGTTACTTAAACCCCTAGGCCTTAGTCCCTTAACCTTTCAAAATAAGGTTAAATATACACACCTACATGGTTATTTATGTGATAAAATGTAATGAAATATTAAAAATCCTTAGCAGTTTGACTGGCATAAGGTAGCTATTCAATAAATGTCCCCCCCCCCCCCCCCACCTCTTGTATGGCGAGTTATTGATGTACTGAGGGAATGAAAAAGAACAGTGGGGTAGAATTCAATCTGCACTGGGAAAGACTTAGGAAGACAATAAAAATATCCTGAGGGACAGATCAGGAAATTTCTAGGACAAATAAATTGATATAAATGCCCCCTCTCATTAAAAAAGGCAGTAATGCTCACCCACCACCAAAAAAAATGAAAGAGAAAAAAACAGATTAGACATTCACTCTTCCAGGTTCCCCAATTCAAATGAAACAAAAAAACAGGCCTAGGAGAGATGAAACAAACAATCCTAAACACAGCTGACCCTATGACCCTGTCTCCATGATTACCCTTCTCTCACCAACTCATCTAACAAGAGCACAGTCATGAGGGATGAGCAGAGCAAATGAGACATTTCCCTGTCTGAGACTATTTCTCCTCCTACAGCTTCCTTGGGCAAGATGTGAGGAGAACTGTATCAATCCTGAACAGTAAGTATCCGAAAGTTCAGACTGGGAGGAAGGAGAAACAGACAAAAACATCAACACCCAAACAGGGTCAAGATGTCATTAGGTATCTGTGACTTCCCTTATTTCTACATAAATGGGTATCAACCCACTAATCTCACAGACGACTTCCTCAAAAATAAAGACTTGCATATATGTCACCCTAAGTACTCAAAATAACACTACTGACAGCATTTTTTTACAAAGCTAATCTTCCTATCATAGCAGCAGACTTCATCTCATCTTATACAGTCAGAGAAATTTGCAAAAGTCTTTCTTACTCATGCTTCTCAGTGACTCATCAAGACAGACTGGATTCAATTTTAGTCACAGGCAGATATACTTGGGGGATTTTCCCAATAATGTTATCACTTCAAATCTGAAAAGCATTTTCTATTTTTTAGGGCAGGTTAATATTTATTACAAACTTCATTTAACTAGTACTTTGAGGTAGTTATCCTGTAATCAACGCCTGTCACAATTAAGTCTTATGTACACACAGAGGACAAAAAATAAAAAGAGAAGAGATTCATTCCACTTGGAGATAAGCTATGAAAAATAGCAGGGACAGTTTGAACAAAACATTTGCTCGGCTGAAGGAAAACACACATTTAGCTATGGGAAGGGTTTTGCAACAGCCAAGTCTGTTAAACTCACGAGAAATGGTGATGGCCTTGGTTACTTGTCACATGCTCTCTGAGGTTTAGACACTTGCCACCATAGCAAGAGTCATTTTTAATAGAATCAGAATTGCAACATTGTACAATTAGAAGGGGCTTTGAACAAATGGGGAATGTGAGAAAACCTAGAGGAGACCCTGTTCAGTGAAAAAGTAAACTGTATGTTCTATGACTGTGTAACCAAAGAGAGGATGTAGAAGTGGATTTCAGTAGATTGAGACTGATAAGCCAGAAAGTGTTATTAAATTTACTCATCTTCAAAGATAAGAAAATATTCTCCATCCCCTCCCCTTCCCACTCCTGAGCTTATCCCACACTCCTTCTCCTGTGGGTTCCATATTATTTTTATTTCTGTAGAGAAAATTTATAATTGCTCTAGTTAATTCAGAATATTTAATTAGCTTTCATCATAATGAAGTTGGTTTCCACATTTTTCCTCCTTCTTGTTTAGTCTCGGTTGATATGCATATCAGTTTTGATCCTAGATGTAAAAATTTAGGGCTCTTTTTTATGGTGGGAGTTTTTACAGTTTTATGGTGGCCTTTTTTGCAATGACTTGCAAAACATAAAGTACAAATTTCATTGCATTGCTTTCACGCTTATAACTGAAATTTTCTTTACGTTTATATTTTAATGACCTTAAAAATATACAAATCGTAACTTGCATCTCCATTTTCAGACTCCCTCTTTGTAAACTTGCGTTGCGTGTTCTTTCTTGGTAATTGCCACCATAACTGTTTAAAATGATTATGGTTACATTTTCTATTAACACTGTTTTCATGATCACCACTTTAGTCTTTCTTATAATGATTTACAAAATGATTTATACAATGTCATCTATATTGTAAAATACTATTTAAGGCATCCCATTTCACAATAGATTCAGCTGGTTACACTGAAGTTAATATAACCTGTGATGCTTTTATTATAACAAGGTATCATAATTCATATTTCTGATTCTTGAATTATAACGGGCATTGACTATATTTTTATTGCAAAAAAACTTTGTTCTTTTTCCATAGTTGCCTGACCACAGATTGGGTACATCTCTGGTATATATGGTAAGTTTCAGTTATCCTATGCAGAAAGACATTTAAAAGGGACTTTATTTTTCTGAGGGGTATTATTATTTTTTTAGTTTTTAAATATATTGAAAGCAGGGAAAAAATGTATGAGACAGCCAGCCCACTCACCTTGCATCTCATGGAGTAAAAAGTTTCTTTACTTCATCACTAACCTATGTGACAATATGCCAGGATTTCCTATTTCACTACCATCTCCTCAGCCAACATCAACAGATTATTGTGTACTTTCTCAGGGTCAGCTCTAGAAATATCCACATAGAGGAGATTACTTCAGTAAAGTAAAAAGCAGGGCCTCCAAACCACATTAGATCTTTATTAATTGTTCTAGTGAACAGACTTATTCTTGATGACAAAATAAAGAAGTATATAGGTGAATGAAAGCCTTGGAATTAAAATCTTATGACCAATTTATAAAATACTCAAACAAGAATCAAAATGCAGACATTGAAGACTGATTATGCCAAAGTTGGGGAACAAACTAGATCACAGAGCTTTCATCTTCCCGTGGGCTCCATGCAGGTTGCTGGTGGTAATTGGTGCGCTGCTCCTCCTATGTGTCCTGACTTCTGTGTGCTTCCGCTGCTGTCTGAGTCGCCAGCAGAATAGGGAAGACGAGGGCCAGCCACCCTATGAAGTGACGGTCATCGCTTTTGATCATGACAGCACTCTCCAGAACTCAATCACTTGTGAGTACACTGACTTATAACATGGGAGGTGAACCGAGATTTAAACAAACGATTAGGATAGTACAACAGTATAAAAACATTGCTTGAACAGTATTTAAGATTCTAAAACTTGGGGTAGTTTTAATTTCCAGAAGCCTGATGGTACAGTGACCCGGGCTCTCAGGGATGTTGTATTCTCAAATATTGGTCTGACTAGTGATAGAGTGAAGAAAGAAGTGAAGTTTTGGAGACAATATTGGAAATGTTATATAGGAAGAAGTATCTAGTTGAAAAAGTTATTTTGATAAAACTATCTTAAGCTCTAAATATATCTCCTTTTCAAAAATGTCTCAGATTTTGTAGAAACCTACATTTTCTATTATCTATACTATTTTATATCTTCAGAGAAATTAGTTGTGTGTACTTTTAGTTCTTTATTCTTCAAGTCTTGATACAGTAAATATTAACCCCAATACCCCCTTGATAATCATAGGACACTTTCCTTTATTTTCTTCCATTCTCTTCTTTATATCATATTCGTTCCTAAAATTGGAGAGTAAATACCAGGCAGAACTGGAAAAGCACTGTGATACTTATTTTGAATAGAGAACAATGTAACGTGTCGTTGTTCACCTTTCCTGCCTCCCTTTTCTCACTGTCAATTTAGAGAAAAGATAAATAAGGCAGAAATAATATTCTGAAGGAGTCTGAAATTTCAGTGGGTTGGTGTAAAGGGTTCCAAGTCTGTAAGGGAAAAAACACAGGGTTGTGAGGTATGGGAAGATAATTTAGATTATTTTAGGATATCAGAGCAAACAAGATCTTCTAGCAGAGTAAAGTTGGTTTCTAAACAAGTTTCACAGGATTTTCATAACATTTGTGGTAGAGAGTGACAATGAGTTTGGACACTTGTTAAAAATGAAGGGAAATTAAGTGTGTTGTAACTCTCTGCTTTCTGAGGATGTCACGTTCGCTTTAGCTCTATTCCTTCTTTGCTCACCAGCCCTGCAGTCAGCGTTTGGCCCTTCAGCTCGAAGAATCCTGGCGGTGACTCACTCCCACAGCTCCCTGGGCCATCTGCCCTCCTCTTTGGACACCCTCCCAGGGTACGAAGAAGCTCTTCACATGAGTCGCTTCACAGTTGCAAGGTGTGAGCAGAGAGCACCTCATTTATCCCCAGTGCTGAAAGAAAAGCAGCTGCCTCCAACAGAGAAAGAGTCTCCTGAAATAGAACACTCTTCAAATTGATGAGAATTCCGGTTTTATAAATGGGGTGGGGGTATCCCCGGAGTCAGTGGAGATTCACAAACAAATTTTTTTCTAATTTTCAGAAGATTTAGGATGGAATCTAATCATCGTTCTGTGGAAAAGATGGATTCCAACTCTTCATTTCTAGACATATATTTTCTGATGTGGAATGCTCTAGTAGAAAACTCTCATTCTTTATCCAATGGCCAACAATTATAACTAACCTCTAGAAATGCTAGTTACTACTGAACAGGAAATCATCAAAGCTATCTTGGGTTCCTTCAGCTCTCGAATTCCTTTATCCAGATGATACTGCAAGGTGCTTTTTTCTCTACCAGCTAATACACTGTAAGACGCTTGTGGAGAAAGACAAGAGTGTGGGCACAGCCATAAACATTAATGCACCGAATTCATGCATCCTTCCTCTTGAAAGAATGCTCACTTTTATACTGAATGACAATGATAGTTTTAGACATCCTGTAATACCTAACTAGACATCTATCCAGGTGTAGGATTGCAAGTTTGGGCTAAGAGAACACAGTATAGTGTTGAAGTGCCAAAGATCAACAACTTTCTTGCATTCTGATCTTACTCACCAGCAGTACGAGAAACTGCACAGAATGCAATAACAGTTCTATTAATTTTTCAGTTCGTTTGTCCTGCAAACACACAGATGCACGCACACACCCATACACATGCACCCTTTGTGCTCTAAAAGAATAGCATTGCTTTGCTTCTTTCCTCTTCGCTATGACCGCTTAAAGTCAAGTGTCTGACGCACACACACGTCTCTAGTGGTGGCCTTTACTGCCACCTACTGGAACCATGGTAGAAAATGCATTCTCCTATTGAGCCTATCTGCACACCTCTCCAGTTCTCCAAGCACTAATTGAACTAAGCCTGGATGGGATCCTCCCAGTGGCACCATCGCTGTGTAGTGCTAAGCTGTCCACATAACGTACTACTTCCAAAATGCATTGTTACTGGAAAATTGAGGAAGTAAAGTGTAATTGGGGAAAAACTACTCACCAGTGACCTTAGGCAAGTCATTGAAATCTTTAAAGCACAGTTCTCTCATCTGTGAATTCGGAGATAATAACACCTCCGAGGATTGTTGGGAGGATCAAATAAGCTAGACATATATGACAAGATTTGTAAAGTATCCTGTACATGTGTTTGTTATTCTTCATACTGACATCACATGTTCACCTGCCTGCTATGATTCTGCTGAGAATTATTTTCTGATTTGTCCTTCTGTCAGCCAGTCTGCTGTTATTGTGAAGTCACACCTGAAGTAGCTTAATGTCATCAATAAATATTTGCTAATGGAGGTAAACAACTGAAAATATGTGATTCCTCTCAATATGTTCTGTGTAGAGGTAAGGAATACTTGAGAAAACTCGTTTATTCTGGAATTCGCTCCAGTACTCAGGGAGACAGCACAGAGCTTGGGAATGGCTGAGGAGTGCAGCACCTCATTAAATACATTCTTGGAAAGCTCCCTCAGCCCAGCCAGAGGGAAAATGTTCTAAGTGAGTATAACCTGCTGCTGATCTGAATTTATCCTGAATCATTTATCAAATTGCCTCTGGAAATTGTTGAAATGCATGAATGGTTAATAATAGCACCTGAGGTGGCCTTGTTTGGCCACTGCCATATAAATGACTTCATTATCACACATTCCATAAAATATTCTAGACTTTTTCATCCTTCAAGCTACCACAGTCTTGAAGAAATTAAAATGTCATCGGGTATAAGAGGATCTTGGAAGAAATCCTGCCTATAAGTCTCTTATTCTAAAGGTATTTCTCTGCCTCACCTCTCTCCTGCCCTGTGCCCCTCTCCTTAACCACACAGAGTCCACTCCTGTAACCCTCCCATTTTGTCAGAAGCTATTAGCACCCATTTGGCTTCACTTCTTTCTCTACTCAACCTAAGGCACCTGTTAATCAGCTCAATCACTTTCACCACTGCACTCAATTTTTTTTAACCCCTTTTAACTTTCGTCACACCTATCCTTCAAACTTTAAATATTGGTTCAGTGAAGCTAACTGATTTCTCCCCAAAGCATACACGGCTGAGCAGTGCTGCAGAAAATCTCTCAACTCTATTGATTGAGGTCATTACAAGATCATGGTCTCCCACACCTGAACCATTTCTTCTAGATTTTCTTTAGTAATTTTTCCATTTCTTTTAGTAGTTATTCAGATTTCAGTGGCTCTCATCAAACTGCATACTCCATCACCTATCATTAATTCTAGCCAGGGACTTGTCTTTCTAGTTCAGAGAGGAAATCAAAGCCTTCAGGTAACTTATTCCCCCAAAGCTACAAACTTCTCCTTTCCTCCTTCCTTCCAGTCTTATTGATATACGTGTTCTTTCTTGTCTCCAGTAAAACACTTCTGATTGTGCTTTGCATTACACTGATTCAACAGTTTCTTTATCAAACAGGTCTTATTTAGGAAGTTATGTGCCAAGAATAATGCAGAGGCAACTGGGGGTATGAAAGTGTGCAAGACGAACATGGTGTCTGACTCTTTGTCCTCACAGAGCGCAAGAAAAGCAAAAATGATTGCGAACATTAAAAGTGCAAAGAACCCTTGGGAAAGGCAGAGTGAGGGAAGGGCATTTTCAATGATGACGAAAAGTTTGGTAAATTTGAAGAACTGAAAAAAGACTGGAGTAGCTGATTGTAGGGTGCTAAAGAGACAGCTATGGACAACGGAGTCTGAGAGGGAGAGGGGTCCTGGGGGCAAGGAGTCTAAACTGCATTTCACATGCATTGAGAAGCCAAGGATTTTAAGTAGTAAGTTACTTGATGCAATTTGAATTTTTAAGACACTGAGCTCAGGCTACAGGAGAATGGGCTGGAGTAGGACAATTATAAAAGCATGAAGACCAGATGAGAGGCTATTGAAGAATAGATAAAACTATAGAACTAATGTGGTGATATTAGAGGTGGAAATGGAGACAAGTGTAGGGATTTGAAAAATATATTGGGGACAGTATCATCAAGACTTGCTGATGGACTGGCTATGGGAAATGAGTGACCAAATTTAGGGGGAAATTCAAGACAATGATTTCTAAAATGGGGAAAAGGCATTTGATGGTGAAATATAAACCAGTCTAAGATAAAGCCCATAAACCCATATAGACCCTATATATTGGTATAAATGACATAATCAACTCCTCATCCTTGCCATCCTCCTTTTTCCTCTTGCTTATTTATTTTGTGTGTGTGTGTGAGGAAGATTCACGCTGAGCTAACATCCATTACCAATCCTCCTCTTTTTTTTGCTTGAGGAAGATTAGCCCTGAGCTAACATCCATGCCAATCTTCCTCTACTTTATATGTGGGATGCCTCCACAGCATGGCTGACAAGGGGAGCAGGTCCACTCCTGGGATCTGAACCTGTGAACCTGGGTCACAGAAGCAGAGCGCATGGAACTTTAACCACTCAGCCATGGTGCCAGCCCCTTGCTTATTTTTTAATTGTTCACTTTCTGCTAGCTTGTTCCCTTTGGTATACAGTAGTTTAGAGTGAATTATATATTGAAAAATTCAGGGGGAGTATAGAGCTGAAGAAGAAAAGTGACACATTGTTAAACCTTGTCCTAGGTAATTCAGACACTGAACTTGAAGATAATGAGGAGCTACTTGATGTTTTATTAGCAGGAGAGTTCCATAATGTGATCAATGTTTTAGAAAGATATTCTGATGAAAGTTTGAGGTCTTAGCTGAAGTGTGAAGAAGGCAAGTCTTAATTCCAGCTAGGAACATATTGTAAAAATTCTAGTTAAAAGTTATGAGAACCATAAAATGAACATGGGGGTGGTGATGAAATGGATGATAATCATTATTTTTTTTCCAGTGAAACTTAAACTGTGCTCAAATTAAAAAAATAAACAACAAAGGTTTTTAAACCATTGTTCTCTAGGTCTTTCCTCTAATTTTAAGCAGTGGAGATTCTCTACCACCTTTTTCTCAGCCCAAAAGACACAAACATGTATAAATCTCCTACAGCCTGGCAGTAAAGCTGCACTATCCGTCCTTCACAGCTTACTTTGGGTTTCCCAGGGTGATTACCCTGGGCAAAAAAAGAAACATTTTTTATTGCTTTTTAATTACCAAAACCAAAATTTCTACAAGCAATCAGGGCCATGTCTAGTGTCATATCAATATCTGAAAGGAAGTGTTAATATCTACATCGCAGGAGGAAATGACTCTGGTGGCGCAGAGCTCCTAATCTGTGAGAGATCTGACAGGCAATATAGATTCTCCTTTCTGGGGGAAGATGCATCTGAGAGAAGATTGATTGGGTTATGATGACTGGCTTTCTCTGTGGTTTGGAAGTAAATAGAACAGTACAGGATGCCTTTCAGTGGCCTGCTTCCCATCCAGGTCTAGGTTAGGAACTGCAACATAGAATCTTGTTGAGCTGGCTGTATAGGTGTGGCCTATAAGATCTTTATTAGAGGGTCTGATTAGTTAACACATTAAGAGTTTACTTGTACATGAAAGTATGGAAAGAAAGCAAAAATGGGATTTATGTAACAAATTTAAGGGGCAGGGGAGAAAAATTGCAAATTATTTGTTTGCAAGTTTTGTTTTGTTTTCTTTGGGTAAGCAGATTGGCTGGAAGGCAATAAAGAGATCAGGATGCGAAGTCTTCCTTTGAGCAAGCTGACTGACTGGGAAAACAATTTCAATGATTCATGAATTGTCCAAGATACATTGAGAGTTCAACTGTGGAAAATATTGTACATGCTGTTTCTGAATAGTGTTAGCCAGTGTCCTTCTGTTGGCAACTCCACTTTGGTTAAGCCAGAATTGCACTATTTCCTGCTTCAGAATTTCTCATAATTGGGAGTTTGGAAAGAGGGTTGGGAAAGTGGTAGTGTTTGAACTGAAACCTGAAGGATGATAGAATTTTAAGCATCAAATGTACGGTATAAGAGCATTTTCTGTCTATGAGCAAAGATAGAAAAAATGAGAACGTGAATCATGGAGAATGTTAAAAATTCCAAGAGTGATATAATAGGAATGAATTTGAAAAGAAAGTGTTACTGAACCAAAATGGGTGAGTTGAAATCAAAACCTTCACCAGAAGAAATCGTCACACAAAGTATTGTTTATTTGCAACACATAAGGAGCCCACAGGGAATCACTTCCAAAGCTGTGGCCCCTGGAGCAAGGGAAAGCGGAGGCGTTCTATTTCAGATGGAGAATGAATATTCAAAAGGGAAGTTTCACATGTAGAGATGGGCATAAGCTCACGCAGGTGTAGTTTGAAAACACGCTTTCACATACATCGCATGTTATGCTAATAAGGCTTAAGCTCCTCCTGGGGTAGAGATCTTAACATTAAAATGAAACAAAGGTAACTTCGGACATTTCTTGGCCCTTCTTTACAGGCATTGCTCTTTGCAGTGGGGTTTGGACCAGTTCAGGGCGGTTGGTGGTTGCATCTATTAACTGAAATACAACTTTGAGAAACAGCTAAGTGCCTTAAAAAACTCCTTTGAGTTACTCGGAGCAGTTAGTCGGTGACAATAGGTTGGTGTCTTTCTATGGAAGGCATTACATGTGAGTTTAAGGAGTCTGATCCCTATCCTGCATTCTGTGAAAACCTTTGCAAGTTTTGGGGAGGGAAAGGATGATGTAACTTGTAAGATACTTTTGCTGTCACTAGGAGCTGAAGAGGCGAAGTGGGATGGAGAGGATAAGGAGACCAGTATGGCTATTGAACCACCCCAAAGACAATACTTTAATTTTTTTCATAAAAGTTTTGTTAAAGGCAAAGTTTTGAAATCAGGCAGACTAAATTTAATGCCTCTTCTCTATATTTCAGCTTCCCAGTACTCATCCTTTAATTGCTTATGTTCCCTTTCGGTTATTGCTGTCGTTGTTTGACAAATGATTTCAGTGTTCTAGTGACCTTTCTTGAGTCCCAGTTTGTACATCAAATCTGTTTATACAGGCAGGATCTCTCTTGTAGTCCCCTCTTGCACTAGACTTAGAACCCGCTTTCCCCTCTGATGTTAATATTAATTATGATGAGTAGTAAAGTTGAGCACTATCTTTTCCCTCTCTCAAAAAGACTGGAAATCCAAACTCAGTAAATATCAAAGTAGATAAAAGCAAATCCAATTCAAAGGGAACAAAAGTTCATTGGGTCAAATACTTGGGAAGTAATCATAACCATTTGAATGCCCATAGTGTACTATTTAATTCTCCAACACATGTTTTCCCTTTTATGAGCTTTGGAGGCTGAATTGCAGAGAAGTGATGTATCTTGCAGAGAGCTGAGAGACTGAGCTGGTTTTATCTATATACTACTTTTTTTTTTCATTTATTTTTTTATTGAGGTAACATTGGTTTATTGCATTATATAAATTTCAGGTGTACATTATGCACTCAACTTAGACTTCAAATATCAAACTGAAAAACCTTTTGCCCTTATGTTTCAATTTCATTTTTATTCCTTTTAATCAATGTATACATTCACATAGATTCAAA